CATTTGACCTCACCAGGACTCACCTCTCTGTGAATTAAGTACTTCCTCTTATTCTCACTTGCCTTTGGGGATCCGGAGAGCCAAGGTTTCCTGATTCCATGTATTCCTTACCTTTTGCTGTTGCTCAATGTGCACATGGTTGCACACACACACACTAACAGGCACACAGACATGTACACAGATGCACACACAAGAACACATTTACATGTTCACCATGTGAATAAACATAAAGTCTACATATAATTTAAACAGATTTTCATGCTGTGAAAATGGAGTGGGCCCTGAGGACAAGACTTCTGCTGGGCCCCACTGCTCCAGCTAGGGCTATTGTGGGCCAAAGGAGATATGTTCAAGTTCTCACCCTGGTATCTATGATATGGTTTATTTGGAAACAGGGCATTTGCATATAAGTTCTAGGTTGAAGTAGGTTGGCTCTCATCCAGTGCCTGCCATCCTGTAAAAAGAAGGCGGCTTAGACTCAGACACAGGGAGTAGCCGCGTAAGGATGGAGGCAGAGGTTGGAGGGATGGAACCACAGGACACAGAATACCTGGGGCCATCAGGAGTAAGCCTCCCTAGACCTGAGGAGGGAGTGGCCTTGTGACACCTTGATGCAGATGTCTGGCCGTCAGATCTGTGAGGGAACAGATGTCTGATGCTCAGAGCCTGGACCTGTGGTTCTTTGTTTGGTACTTTTGAGACAGGATGTCACTACATAGTTTAGGCTGGTCTTGAATTCTCTTGTCAGTTTTCCTGCCTCAGACTCCTGAATGCTGGGATTACAGGCACACGCCACCACATGCTACTTTTGTTGTGGCCATCTGAAGTGCTACATGGGTCAGACCTGTGCTTGCACTCTGCCCTACAGATTAGCCACTGAGTAACTCGGGATAGGTCTGCAGACCTGCAGGCCTCGTCCCTATTAGTGGCTGAGGAGGAAAGGACGTAGCTGCATCTGTGCTGAGCCTGGCCTGGCAGACTGCAGGCAATGGAGTGGAGACCAAGGCTAAGCTCAATTGTTAGGGTTTAGATTTATACTTTGTTTTTTTGTTGTTGTTGTTTTGGTACCGGGGATCAAACTCGGGTCCTTCGGCAAAACCACTGAGCTAAATCCCCAGCCCAAGGGTTTAGATTTAAATGTTCCCCGAAGGTTTCCTTTGTGGAAGATGATTGGCTCATGGGAAGACTCTACTTGTCGGTGGATTCATCCATTGATGAGTTTAGTAGCTAAATATGCTGTTAGGACATGAGGCCCTGGTCGGAGGTGGGTCACTGAACATGTGATCTGGAAGGGTATTTTCTTGTCCCCAACTCCTTCCTTCTCACTCTGCTTTCTGGCTGCAGTGGGAGGAGTACCTTTTCCTCCACCATGCCCCTCTGCTATCCTGTTTCTGCCTTGGGCCATGGACTGAAACTGTGGGTGAAAATAAACCTCCCCTCCTTTAAGTTACAGGTATTGAGTATTTTGTCCCAGTGATGAGAAAGTGACTTAAGACATCAAGAGAGCCCCCCATCGGTGGCTTCTCTGTCAAGAGCACCTTCAGCACCACAGCAGGCGAGTTTGGTGCAGGGCACTGCTGCTCAGGAATATCCTTGGGGCTGGACCATGCTAGCCTGTGGCATGGGTTGAAATTTAATCTAGATTGTGTTAGTGTGACTATGAGAAAAAAGTAGATCCCGTCTTTGAAATGCTAAGACCCCGAAATTCCCCACAACATAGACATTGGACTGCGTTCTGTTAGAGGGACATTCTCAGGATCTCTGAGGTGGGGCTTCAGCTGTCAAGGGAGGGCCAGCTTTGGGTTGGTAGGGGACAGAGCATACTCAGCCTTTGTACCCTCCTGGCCAGGATCCGCAGCACTGGTTTGGACACAGCTTTTCCCTCTGGGGAGTAGGCTCGGGGCTGATGGCTGGGTGGTACCATGTGATCATATGTCCCCAGCAGTGGAGTCCTGTACATGTCTGGGTTCTCTCCCTGAGGACCAGTCTGCTGTCCTGGTAGCCACTGCACGTGGGTGGAGACCCCAACCAGCCAGGCCGTGGGCCTCGTGGAGTCCCTTCTCAGATACAGGCCATGTTCCAGAGAAGGCTTCCTGTGGCACAGTGCCTTGTCCTGGCCTCAGACATGCAGGGATTTTGAGATCAAGTTGCCATTGCCCAGCCCACCCAGCTCTCCCTGAGGCCCCCCTGGTCTTCACGCTGCCCTTATTGCTGCCCTTGTGCCGTCCTCACCCTCTCTGTGGAACTGGATGCCTGGGCTAGTGCCCTTTCTTCCACTTACTGGGTACACCCTGGGCAAACTGCTTCCCTTTTCTACAGTAAGCAGACCTCATGTGCCCTGTTGCTTGTCCTCAGCACGGAGGGATGTGGGAGGAGCTCAGCAGCTATCACAGGTGGCCTAATGTAGCCAAGTGTCCGTCCTGTCCTGGTGGCACCTGCAGAAAGAACACAACCCAAAGTTTCTAGGATGGCCTGCCCCCAGGGCCCGGGTTACAAGTTTGTGGGCTCAGTCAGTTTGGGCAGCATTGAGCAGGGTATTGAGACATAGTCCAGGGGTTTTATGGTTTTGGCTTTTTTCTTTGAAAATAGCAAAGGATGTCCTGGGAAGCTGACTAGTACTGGCCCTGCCTTTCCTGGAGCCAGGTATTTGCCCAGTCTTCTGCAAGAGCAGAGTAGGCACAAGCTGCCCTTCTAGGCCCTTCAGTGTACATATGTGTGGCTTACTGTTTCCTGAAAGTTGCTAGTGGGTGGTTGTGACCATCCTGGAAGCTGGCCCTTGGAGAATATACAGCCTGTGACAGTGCAGCCAACTCTCTGGAGTTGGTGGGTCTCTCACTGGGACCTTAGCAAGATCTTTCCTGTGTTGTGTTTGGCAAGGATCTGGACCTGCAGCCCACCATGTCTGAAACATGGGTCCTTCTGGAGAAGAGAGTATGACATCTGTGCCACCCTCTGGAGCACCCACCTGGTTTATCTGAGGCTATAGGTGCTCCCCTGTATGGGGCCCGAAGGCCAGGCTGATGTGAGTGAGGGTCGTTGTAAGTGAGCTCCCATGCAGCAGCAGGCACAGGGGCCAGGAAATGGGGCCCATTCTGCAGGTTCCAAAATCAGGCTGCTGTGTGTAGCTGGGTCATCTTCTACCCTAGGACACTTGAATGGTCACCAAGAAGGTCTAGCCCCCAGTTTGCCCAGTTTGCTTCAGTCCTGCTTGGTGGTCCTCTTCTGGGTTGGAGTCCTGACCTGTGCTGACCACAGTGCCTTCTCGTGCCCCACTTTCTGGTACTCTCAAATGTGAATGCTGCTGTGCTGGCCTTGAAATGTCCCCAAGGTTGTCTTCGCCTCTCCTGCCTGGATCTGTTCTGGGCCCCCAGGTGCCCCACAGCTACTTTCCAGCCCTGCCCAGCTGTCTGGTGGCCAGTGCACCTCAGGTTGGAAGGTCTGAGAAAGCCAAGGGTCCTGGCTTCTCGACAGAGGTTTCCTTTGGGATAAGCCTCTCGCTCCAAAACAACCCGTTTCCCTGCAGAGAGACCACAGTGTGTGGGTTTGGGGGGTGGGTCCTGGGCATCTGACCAGCTCCCTTCAGCAGCTTTGTGTGGAAAGTGCTGGCTGAGGTAGAGGCGGGGGGTCCTGTGCTGGAATCCTGGGCAGCAGTGGCCCTGAAGGTACATGTCACCTACCTGCTTTCCATATTTCATTGGATGTAGGTAGGAAAAGCCCTTGATTCTTACCACATTACACAAAGATGTCCTTGAACACCTTTTCTTTTCATTTAATTTTTATTTCTATCAATGTTATATATAATCTGTTTTTTAAATACGCAGTGTACTGTGTAAAGACTATCTTCATATTTTTAAATGAGATTTTTCTGATTCTTGATTTTTCAGTTTATTTATGAATTTTTTCCTATGGAAGATGAAGGTTTTGGATAGTTAAAACCCTTATCTCTTAGCAACACTTATGAACTTAACTTTTAGCTGAATCAAGATTCATTATTTATGCTAATAATTGCAGCCCAGCTATGTAGATAATAATGAATGTTTTATTTTTTGTTCAATCTTTGTTCTTAGCAGTTGATTTTTACCTCACTTTCTTTCTTTCTTTTTTTTTTTTTGGTACCGGGGATCGAACTCAGGACCTTGCACTTATGAGGCAAGCACGGTGCCACTGAGCTACATCCCTGGCCCTTTACCTCACTTTCTATCTGATTAGTTTTATAGTCTTGTCACTTGTTCACCTCCAGCTCTAACAGAGAAAATGCTCAGTGTCTCCAGACACCTGAGGTCTCAGTTTAATATATTGCTGTGTTGACAAACTTCCACAGAACATAGGGCTTGGCACAGTGCTGGTATGCTGTTCCTCAGGATTTTGTGTGCTCTTTGGGTAATGGTGTTGGTGGAGCTGGAGTGTCCAGTGATTCTACTCATGTGACAGGACAACTAGGGCTGCCCCCACCGCTGCCACATACACACCTGCTCCCTCTGTTCAGGGTCTACCGTCTCTTACCCTGGGGACTAGGGGGATGTGTCCTCATGGATAGGGGGCTTTGGACTCCTCAGGTTCTAGTGCTGAGGGGCTAGGTCATCCCAGGGGGATATCAGTGCACTTAAGGGCCCACAGACAATCACACCTTGGAATCCCCTGCATGGTGAGTCAACAACAGGCAGGATCCAGAACAGCAAGCCTCTCTTCAGTACTCCTGTGTCTCGCCTTAGTGCTGGACTTGGGACTGATCCTGTGATCTGGTCCCTCCCATCTGAGAGCCTCCATTTTCCCCAGGTGTGGCCAGGCCATGGGTACCAGAAGTAGGCACCAAGGGAAGTGGGACTCATGGACATGGCGAGGGTCCATGGGACCTGGGGATCTTTGGGGGTCCTTGGAGAGTCACAGAGCCCAAAAGAATGGCCCTCTAGCAGGTGCTCTGGCCTGGCGCTAGGATACCATGGGCCTTTCCCCCGGCACTTGATCCTACAGTAAGTGTGGCCCTTTCTGCTTTCTCCAAGGTCACCAACGGTGAGGATGCAGCTGTTGTCCTGGAGCCTCTGACTTCCATCCAAAGGACCCCACGTGCCTTCTGGCCAGCTTCGTGCAGACACACGCTGAGTACAGTGGTCAGCCTGGTGCAAGGCCCCAGAGGAGCAAGTGTGTCCAGGAGGAGACAAGACCAGTGCACAGTGGCGCCTCTTGGCTGAATGTATTTATTCCTGTGACTCAGGCTGCAGTGTTCCTGGCTTGGAAAGAGCCAGGAACTCAGTGATGAGCTTGCTGCTTCACATGCTGGGCATGGGCGGCCTCCAGGCTTGGACTTCCCTTGCAAGAGCAGGGCCTTCTGCCCCTGCCCACCTGGTTGCCAGTGTGGGTGGCTGTGCCTAGCCATGGATCTTCCCTCTGGGGATGGCTGTCTCAGCTGCTGGGCTCCAGCTGTCTGCAGGCTTGATAAATACCAAATTGCACGTGTGGGGTTCTTCTTCCCAAGCCCTTGGGCATGGGGTCTCTGTGCACTTAAGAGCTGGGGACCCACCTGCATCTCACCCCATTCCTCCCAGAGCATGGGTCCCCCTGGGTGGCCGGCCCCTGCCTGCAAAGCCACCTTGTCCAGGAGATGCTGCTATGAATTGCCAGTACTGTGAGGAGGAGGTGAAGGGTAGACCTTGAAAACAGCGCAACGTTAAGAGGAGAAACTGGCACTGCTGTTTGTAAGAGTGCATTCCTTCCCCTTTCTGTCACTTTATAGACCAAAAAGAAAAATGAAAGAAAAAAAAAAAGTCTTCTGCTCTTTCTTTGTTTAAATGTGCGAAAGAAAAATCTAGGTTGATGTTACCTGAGCAGCCCTGAGGTCGCACCTATGTTGGGGCTGTCGTGTGGAGGGACCCTGGAGGCCCTTGACAGTGTGAGGAAGGGGCCCATGGCCACATGTATCAAGGTGGCACCATGCCGGGCAGATGGGAAGTCCCAGTCTCTCCCTGCCTGGGCCTCCCTCCTGTTTCCTGGTTGACACTTGAATTTCCTGGACAGAGGCACCCCCCCTGCAAGTGGGGGTAGTTTTGCTCTTTGTTCCTACTGGTGCAACTTCTTTTTTTTTTTTTTTTTTTCAGTACTGGGGATTGAACTCAGGACCTTGTGCTTGCAAGGAAGGCGTGGCACCCCTGAGCTAAATCCCCGTCCCTAGTGCAACTTCTTTAATCCCCTAGTTTCTTAGTTTGTTCATTGAAAGCCAAGGGACGTCCCAGGGATGGTGGTGGTGACTTTGCTTGTTCTTGGTTTTACTGGAGTGTTCTGCATTCTAAAGGTTCCACTGCCCTTACGAAGGACTCTGGGAATCTTGGGGGCTGGCAGTGGACACCACCAGGGTCTTCTCCAGAGGTTGTCAAGGGGACTTGACTCAGCAGATAACTGTCTTCATGGTTCCCTAAGGACATGGTTCTGAGCCTGCTCTTGGAAGTGGGGGAGGGTGTGGCTTTCAAATTTGTTTGTAGCAGCAGAACCCTTTTCTCCAACAAGATTTCACTGGAACAAAGGCTACCCAGCAGGTGCTGTCCCTGACCACCCAACCCCGAGAACCCCTCAAGGCCCAAGCGTCTTTGGAGGCTTTGAAAATCCACAAGTGGGACAAGGGGCCTTTGTATGAGAGACAGTACTTGGAAAGAATGAGAGCTGCCAGCTTCTGGGTCTGTCCGAGGCCCATCTCAGGAGGAGCAGGGGCCCAGGAAGGCCAGGCCCTACCACTGTCACACAGTAGTCACACTGGACCAGATTCTGAATTACTTCCAACCAGGGGCTCCCTAGGAATGCTAGAGCTGGGGAATAATTCCTGTCTCTGTTAGCTTGGCCCAACGGAGACTGGTCTTCCTTGGAAGCAAACATAACCTAGAAGCCTGCACAATTATTACACATGCTTGTTTGTGGGATGAATTATGCATCCTCCAGAATGTCAGGCCAGAGCAGGCCTTTGGCACCTGTCCCAGGCCCTAGGGTGGGGGTGAGGGAGGTCTTCCTTCTCCTGAGGATGAAAGGACTGGGTGTGGCTATATCAGCACCCCACCCTGGGGTCCCCAGCAACAGCCAAGAAAGGGCTGGCCCTGCCTTCTGCTAATGGTTGTCAGCAGCACCCACATTCCTTAATCACAGGCCTGGCTGTGACCAGTAGGGAGTGAGCAGGAAGGGGCCAGCTGCCCTCAACAGAATGGAGGAAGAGAGCCTTATGAGTCCCTGCCTTTAAAGGGAGTCTGCCTTTAAACAAACCTGCCAGGAGAGCACTGTTCTAGGGCCCCTGAGTCTGGCCCTTCTGCTGGGTGGCTCCTGGCCACACTTGACCTTCCCCAGCCCAGGAGTCCTAGGGCCCCTAGACCAGTGACAGTGGTGCTGCCTGCTGGTTGTGGAAATGTGAGTCCTCACATCAAATCAGTCTGCTCGCTGAGTCGAGAACCTCAGCTTCATGTGGGCCTCAGAGGATTGGAGGGCATGGTCCCTCCAAACTGCAGGCAGCATCTGCAAGCCAGCAGTCCTGCCTGCTGAGTCTGAGAACAGGTCAGCCCTGTGTGCCTCACTCATATTATCCCAGAGGCTGCCATGAAAAGTTGTCCTGTGAGCCCAGGACCTGTGAGATGGTCCCTGTTTGGAAGCATTGTCACTTTTGGAGACTCACACATGCCTGAGTTCATCAAAGTTCGGAGGAATCCTGTCATTAGAACAGCAAACTCCTGCTTGCCTGCTGCTTCCCAGCCTGTGAGTCTATGAGGGCCCCTCACACAGATGCCTTCTGGGGCCAGACCTGGCCTTGCAACTGTCTGGTCCCTAATGACCCCGATACCACCAGTTCCTTCTAGAGGGTATTCTTCCACCACAGCTTGGGACCTCTTGGTGCCCACACCTGGTGAGTGGGGCTTCTCAGGGCTGTCCTCTGCTGGAGCCCACAGGAGGGGCAGGAGCTTGGAGTCCTGGGCTGGCCTGAGCTCTACCCACCCCGGGAGGGCATTGTCCCCCAGTATAGAGGGATAAATGACATTTCAGCAGATCTAATTTAAAGTGAAGGCAGTCTTTTTGTTTTGCTTTGTTTTTAGTCTTTATTTTTAAGCAGAGGATTAACCATGCTCGCTTGTCAGTTTGATTTCATGGTTGCTCAGACCATGCACAGGAATGGGGAGGTACTCCCTATCCCTCAGTGACACCTAAACTTGGGACTAAAGCTGTGGGCCAGCCCCCAGCAACATTGCAGTGCCCTGGTGATGCCTAGCTCTGTGCTCAGCTCCTTTCGCAGGGACGTCCCTCCTTGCCCTGGTGATGTCCAGCACACTGCTCAGCCTTTCTGGGTGGGCCTAGGGTGCTGACAGCCCACTTGTCAGTGGCAGCCAGGCCACTGTCCTTGTGGCCCTCACTGCCTGGCTGCCCTGTGTGCCATGCCCTGCTCCGACTTCACATGAGCGAACCCGGTTGGCTTCCTGTACACCTCTGAGGGAGGCCCTGTTGCCACCACTTCCATTTGAGCAGGACATGCAGACATGTTTCCAAGGTAATCTCTGTTGCTCCTGGTCTTTTTTTTAGTACCGGGGATCAAACTCGGGTCCTTGCGCTTTCGAGGCAGGCAGCGGAACCACTGAGCTAAATCCCAGGCCCTGGTCCTTCTCTTCTTGATCCTCATAATCCAGGGGAGGGAGTGTGTGTGAGAGATCCCATGGGACCCAGAGGAGGGGTACCTGAGGGAGCCGGGCCTAGGGTCTCAGTTCAGTGAAGCAGCAGAATGCGAAGTACATGGTGTGGGCTGGGTAGAGGAAGCCAGTTTCAGGACCCTTTCTAGTTTGTCCTAGCCTCCGAGGGATCCCATCCAGCAAGAGCTTAGCCACTCACCAGAGCCCGACTGGGCCCCCATCAGCCAACCACCCCAGGGTCCCTTCAGTGTCACCTGAGGGTGGGTATGGGTAGGGCCCTGTAGCTAGCCAGGGAAGGAGAGCCCAGGGTAGCACCTTCCCAGGGCACAGACACACAACAGCAGGCTCCTTCAGGTGAACAACTGTGACCTAACTGCTCGGTAAACAGCTTTTGCTGTCACCAGCATCCCTTCTTCCCACCAGCTGGCCATCAGTCATGTGCTCGAGGCCAGCTGGCATTGCTCTGATATGGAGCAGGCTGGATAGGAGAGGGACTGGGGCACAAGCCAGGCGTATGCAGGAACTCAGCGTGTGTTCTGTCACTCACCCTGCACCCCAGCCTAATCTCCCTTCCCTTCCTCCAGAGGACCCTGGCTTCAGATCTCCCACCACCAGGCTGCAGCTGAGGTGGCCTCCATGGACTCTAAGTCTGTGGCCTGGCAATGCAGGCAGTGTGAGGCCCGATGGGGGCCTGGACCACAGAGTTTCAGGCGCCAGGACTGCAGGCTCTGCCTCTTCTTTGTCGTGCCCTTGAGTCCACTACGCCTCCATAGTCCTAACCCTGCACTCACAGCTTAGCTCTCCTGGTTCTCTGCTCCCTCATCAGGCACCTGTGCAGAAGGGCGGTGGGTGGTGGATGAGGGATAGCTGGGGAGGGGAGGGAGGAGGGGGAGAGGCAGAGGTCTCACTGTGGGCTGGGTTCTTGGCCACATGAAGGACCTGCATGGTAAGATGCCAGGCCAGAGTGCTTGTGTCTTACAGCTGACGAGACTGAAGCTTGGGGCACCCCAGCTAGTTCCTGGGCTAACCAGCACCAAAACCTTGGACACTTACAGATGTTTCTGGGTGGCACAGCCACCCTGTGTGACAGAGCCCCACAGGTGCCCCCCTTTCTGTAGTCTCTTTGTCTCTGATTATAAAATAACCCATTAGTGGTAGAAAATTAGTAAAATCAAGAAAGAAGATGAAACTCTCCTGTAGGCTCCCAGCCCCTGTGGGCCTTTTGCATATTTCTTTCCCCTCAGTGAGTTTCCTAGACATTAACAGATGTTTGCTCTGCAGACCTGGCCTCGTGCCACCCAGGAAGCTCTGTGCCCAACTCACCCTTTCATGGCTCCCTGTGGCTTCCTGTGTCCTGGGCGCTCTCCTATCCCCTTCCTCCCCAGGCCCTGGGAGACTGGTAGCTTTCTGGTGTTGGGGGCATCTCGTCCCTCTAGATATCAGGGAAGGAGCCAGCCAGACTGACTGGGGTTGGGGACAGTCTCTGTGGGAGCAGCTCCTGTCCCTGTCACCCCCTATGGTAAGGAATGAACAAGGAAGAACCCAACACAGATGGGCAGGTTGGGGCCCTGTCCCTGCTCAGGGGGGTTAAGCTGCTTTGTACCCCCAGAAAACCTGAGGAAGCTTTGGGAACCGACCAATCCCCAGGTGGAAGGAGGGGCCCTAGCTGGGGGCGGCTGCCTGCCAATCTGATCCAAGGCCAACTTCCTTTTCCTCTTTGTTCAGCTTCTCTGAGTTGGAGGTATGGTCAGCTCAGCCTGTGAAACCTGGGCTTATGGCTTACTGCTGTCACCACAGCCTGTCCCTCTACCCCCACCCCCTTCCCCACAAAGACACTGCTGCCAACCAGCCTCTGCCCCAGCTGATTTATTTTTAGCTCCTGCCTGCTGGACACCATGGGTTTTTCACCAGGATCCGCAGAGAGGCGGGTGAGGCTCTCTGGCTCCTCCCAGGCCAGCCAGACCTTGACCACCATAGGAGACAGAGGAGGTACCCCCTGTGATTTTACAGAGGCAGGCAGGGGAGTGGGGGCTCCCTTCCTTCCTGGGTGTGACTGAGTGGGTCCAGAGGCCTGGAGCCTGGAGGTAGGGCCCAAGGAAACTGGCATCAGGGTGGGTGAG